GTAAACATCACTCTGCATACCTCATTGGCGCGTTAACTCAAGGGAGGTATTAGAGAAAACTTCAAACGAGTCTCATCCAGAATCTCCGTAGCATTAATAAGTATCTTCATAACGTCATCTTCTAATTAACATTCCAGGTGCTCTGTTCTCGTGTGCTGTGTAGAGTGCGTCTAAATAACGACCCCGCCCCTCTACAACATAACAACATTAGTTCCGCTATTAAATACACATCTCTCTCTCTGTGTATATGTGCGTGCTCTTAAAATACACTATAGGAGAAATATCCCTTAAAAAAACGTAAATTATTTTTAATTATTGACTCAAAAGTATAAAATGAACTTAAACTGTATAACTGTCTCTATGACACAGCTACACTCCCACCAAATCGCTGGTGATTTCTCTAATTAACTTAACATATGAATGCTATTGAGAACTTAGTTATGGAATCTGCAACAGAACTGTGCAGTTACTCATAATATTACTCAGCTTCAAGCAGGTAACTGTCATGTGGATAGGCCTCTCTAGGGGAGACTGGTTTAGTTGAGTCGTTTCCCTTGTCCATCTAATGCTGAGTTACTGATCATCAGTTGTAGCTTTCTCACATCCATCGTCATCAGGGTACACTTGGGTAATTGACTTCTGCATCATTCATCTCTTGCACAATCACCACATCATTGACCTTTGCATTTCTGTGTATCTTTTGCCACTTCTTAGTCTCTATTTGCAGGTTCAACAGGTACTCCCTTTTCCATCTAGACCAAACTCGTTGGCTAAATGTTGCACTTTCCTCCATCTTTTGTGAAGATAAAGGTCTTCTTTCACAAACTCTCCTGGTGGTGCAAAGGTATTGAAGACTTCATTGTCAAAATGTGATTGGGTGTAGAGGCTGCGGTCAACCTGGATCATTGAGCAGATGTGCTGTTAGGGGTCTGCCTGTTTATTGATTGCCATGACTTCACAAAGATAAGTCCAAAGGCGGACCATCAAGTCTCCTGGAGACTGAAGTCCAGAATGGATGTCACACACACTTCTTATAGATTCTGATTTGCCTTTCCAAGGCCCCACCCATGGCTTGCTGATGGAGGGTTCATGACAAACTCACAGCCTCGTTGCTTAAGGCATTCTTGGTTCATCTCCTTTACAGCTTCAGGAGTTCACGTCTTGCACCAACAATTGAATTGCCTTGGTCCCAGATCAGTAGTCGAACTCATTTTTCCGTAGGGCAATGAAGCACGAAGAGCATTGATGAAAGCATCGAAGCCGTCATGTCATCAGAAGCTCTATGTGTACCAGCACGAGGCACGAAACAAGTAAATAGCAGGCCATTACCTTTAGTTCCCTTCTTCCCTCCTTGACGTAGAATGGGCAAAGCAGTCCATCCCACAATATATGTAAAAGAGGAGTCGTCTCCATGCGATCATGGAGTAAGATCTTGCCCATTTTCTGTTCTTCAGTGGGCCTTCTGAATGTTCTACCCTTGACGCCTTGTGTAGTGTAGGATGACTCAGAATGGCTACATCAAATATCCAGATGCCATTTAGGCGTTGTTCATTCATTATACCAAGCCCCTGATGTACACACAGTGATGGTAGTCGCTTTATAAGCAACTTTGATACGTGACAGGTCTTTGGCAGTGCCTGGATGCTTGATGTAGGGGTGCAAAGCAGCATGTCTAGGTAACGCCCTCCCACCCTGAGAATACTATGTTCATCCAAAGGGTCAACTAAGTTTTGTTTTTTTATTATAACCTTTCTTAAGAAAGATTTAATTACAAGGTCCTGTTGACCATCCTAGAGTTAGTTTTTCTTTTTAAGATTTAGCTTATTTTTTTGCCTTTGCTCCCTTGTATCCTTACTTTCAAGTCTTTGATGCTTTACAAGCACTTGCCAACTGAACTTTGGAAGCGATGAGTCAAGTAACCTTCCACGCTTCATATTATTATTGTGTTGTACCACAGCCTTACGAACTTCTGGGTCTTAGCTCAGCATCTCCCCACCCTTAACATCTCCTACAAAATCACCAGAAAATCTGGACCAGTAAACCAGTTGGAACAATCAAATCCCTTTGCCCAGATTTATGTGCGTGGTAAGCGAGTTTTCCTTAGAGGTCACAGTCTCCTGGCTTGGATTGGTACCTCCTTGATATGCTTTAGACCTGGTTTTGCAACAAATACATGAAACCGTCTGGCATTGTTGACATATCAAGAACGACCTTTGAATAGTCCAGAAGAAATCCTGCGTCTTCAATTTCCAACTCTCTTTTAAGCATGTCACTTGTCCGAACAGCAACAACAGCGGCCACGAAGCACATGATCGTGGCTTTGCGATGGTGACCCTTTGGCGGAGGCCACTCTTGCCTTGCCCATGACCAAGGGAACAGTGGATTTGGTTTGATGCACTGATTGCTCTAAGTCGTACATTCTCCATACCCTGTGGCGCTTTTCATCAGAAAAGTGATGGAGTTCGTATTTCTTTGCTTCTTTGGAGCCTTCTGGAAGGTAACATAGCGCTGGATCTTGACATCAGCTAAGTTCTGGTGAATCAACAACCATTCCTCCCATTTGGCCGAAGGTCATCAGATAGTAGTTCATCCCACCCAATCTTGTCTCGGCACATCTGCTGAAGTATTTGCTTCCCACGACCAGAGTATGAAAAGGCTACAAATCCGGTAGGTGGTGGATAGAGGCAACTGTTGACAAAACTCCTCTTCTAGTGAGTGGACGCTCATTCACAATCACTCTGAACTGGAACTGGTCTGAAGCTACACACACCATTTAATACCTAGCGCTCTCTCGTTTACGGCTCACCCAAAGCCAAGTCTGGCCTTCGTACCGTTCCAGCACACTCTTCTTGGGTTGATGCAATTACCTCTTGGCGGTTGAGAGCAAACTTGTGGATATGTAGCTTGCCAGCGCTACAAATCTGCCTTGCTTCACTGACCAACTGTATTGCTTCATCTATTGTGAACACACTTGTGAGGCCATCATCCACACAAAAGTTTCTTTCAATGAGCGAATGGATGCTTCGTTGAGTAGCCTTGTCCTTGCATGGCAACATGTTGGAGGCCATAGTTGCTCGCAGCCAGGTGATGAGGCTGCCCTAAAACAAGTGCACTCTCATCCGGTAGACTAGTGGTTGGGCTTAGAGAGTCCCGTTGTCCCTCCAGAGAAATCTCAAATAGTCTTGGTCTTCTGCTTTGACGTGAAATTGATGGAACATGCGCTCAATATCGCACATTGACCTTACTACTGGACCTTTCTCGAAACCGGCAGAGAACACCCTATCCAAGTATTTGTCCAGTTCTGGCCCACTGAGCAGGTGATCGTCCAATGACACACCTTGGAACTTTGCCGAACAATGACATTCGAACACGACCCTTATTTTCCCTGGTTTCTGTGGGTGATACACCCCATGGTCACGGGATCTACCAGGCAGGGCTCTTGTCAAGTTGGTCTTCTAGTACCTTTTCAGCATCTCCGCGTATGTGTTTCACTCACAAAGTTTACATAATCCATGCTATGGTACTACTTGTCCTTCTCAAATCGTTTTCTCAAACACTTGAGACAGTGATCTGCACATTTCCCTGTTGTCTGACAGACTTGGCCTGTCTTCCTTAAATGTGGGAAGAATTTCACAGTGACCATCTGCTTTTATTCTGATTCCTTCCTCCAGTATTGATATGAAGCCCGGAAACCTCTCTTGAGAGAAGTAGGAATCCTCAACAGTTCTCTCTGTGAAGTCTGACTCGAGCACCTTTATCCGCATCTGGTGGGTGATTGCTCCTTGACTTGTGTTCGGCAAATGTATCGGACTTCACTTGTTAGGTTAGTAGGGGCACTTGAAATCAGGGTGCACCTATG